AGAGACTTACTTTGAAAGACGTAAAAGATGGTACGAGACGTGGGACTCGTTCGAACAGAGGCAAAGCTCTGGAGTCCTAAGCTCAGGCCCCTGCACCTGGACGTGAAGTCGGAGCCTCAGAAAGTCACTCAGCCTCTGCCCGCCTGGCTGATTTAAATTAATTTAAAATTTTTTTAATGACTTGGATGCCTCCCTCTCTGCCTGGGCTGTCTTTTCCCACGTCAGCAGTCACCATCTGTCTGTCTGTCTTCCGAACGTCCGCTCGTATCTCGCCGGCCTGAGCGAGGAGGTCGCGGCTCACTGTTGGCGGGCCAGTCCCGTGACTCCCCGCAGGCAGCTCCGCGCCGGATGGACTCACCCCGCGCTCTCAGGCCTCTGACGGGAGGCTGGGCGCGGACGCCCGAGGTGAGAGAGCAAGTTCCTGCGGGAACCGGTGGAGCACGTGGACGCGGGTGATGGCAGGTGCTGGACAGAGGACGTGGGGAGCTCCGTGGAAATGGGGGCGTCACCAGCACCAACAGCCCTCACGGGAAAGTCCTCAAGGCAGCGCCGTGTGAGTGGCGTCTTCCCGGGAGAAATGAAGCTGCCGGAGCAGACGGCAGGCGGGTTCCCAGCAGACACCTGCGGGGGCCAAGGCGCCCGGTCCGTCCCCGGGACGTCGGGCAGGGACCCCCCACCCGGCTGGGAGAGGAGGCGACTCTGAAGAAACCGTGTGCCTCTAACAGTGACGGAGCGGCGAAGGGAACAGCGTGGATGGTGCGAAAAGCCGACCGGGAGGAAGGGAAGGACGAACGGCCCGTGGGCAGGAAGCGGCACCCGGCCCGCTCTCCCTCGGGGCAGGGAACGCACAGCAAAGCTCCCAGAGCCCTCCTGTCACCCAGCAGGGCCGAGGGCAGGGCTGCTGAGCGCGAGGCCTCGGCCGCGGGAGCCCTGCCTGAGGCCGAGTTCACACGCGTGTGCTCTGCAGTCCTGGCCTGCGGGTTTCTTCCCTGGCACATGCTCGTGGGTTCAAGACAGGCGAAGTGTGTTCGCCGTAGTTTTGCTTCGGAGTCACAAAAAACTAGGAGCAGCTTAGTGCGGATGCAGAGGGGCCGCTACAGATAAATGACGAGACTTCCCCCCGGCGCACGAGCCACAGAGAGGCAGACGCCGGCCTGTGTTTAATACCAAGGGGGGCCGGGAGTTCTGTCACATTGAAAAAGTGAGTAGCAGAAAAAATATATAGAATAATTCCACGTATATTAAAAAACACTTGTATAGCACTTAGGACAAACTAGAGCGAGAGTCGGAGGTGGGTGTCGGGGACAGAGGTGGGTGTC